CTTTTCAATCTGTTAATTTCTGAATTTTTTTTTTCGCACACTGCTTCATTGGAAGTATTTATTTAGAACTCACGCACTCAACGACGATTTGAAGTTTCTACAATGTGAAACGAGAGTTACCTTCGACTAGTGAAAGTAAAGTTATAAATTTTACCTAAGCAAGTACATGGAAATGTCGTAATGACTGCTACATTTACGAATATGATACAGAAAAAGAAAGATAAGACGCTAAAGATAAGAGAGAGAATATTGTGTTCTTTGAATAAATTTATTTTATTGGTAGAATACTGTTTCTGGGTATTTGTGGTGGGGCTTGGTTTAAACTATATTTTATTATAGGATAAGCTGGTTGACACTCCTCCCTGCTTGGTGGGAGTTTTAAAGAGAAAACCGCAGTTCGATTGACTGTTGCTGATCTTGTTAGTACACCACCAGTAAAATAGTCTTGCTTCTGGATATGAAGATATTGAAGAGTGTTATTGATTATTTGCAAAAGTTCACTGCAAAATATTCGACCAGCGAGGGTGTAAATATACAAGTTAATGCCACTGTTGATATAGACACAAAGTCGAAACAGTAATTGTACAAACGATTCGATCGTTTGTCGTTCGGATGATTTTTGGATTTGATAAGTGATTCCGACATACAAATTTATGATGCTGAACGGAGCTGTTAGACACATGAATGAAACAACTTGGATAAGAAGCATAAATATCACTGGGGTGTTGATTCTTCGCTGTTGGATCGGAGGAGTAGCCAAAACTATAGTTCGACGAGACTGTTTGACGTTTTTGATAGTCCGAATACCAAACGGACCATACGTAATGGAGGTACGAATTTTGAATGGAGGAGGACGCAACAAAAACCAGACAATAGGGCAGACTAAGGCAACTGCGGATGTGTTTTCCATTTTTTCGGTCTTTCTCGCAGTTTTTCTGTTGAATAAAATACCACATTGCACTGGAAATACTAACGAGCACTCCTGGTGGAATTCTCATACAATTCAAGAAAAATCTTAGAAAAGAACAGAAATGAAATGCCCATGAGTATTCAAAATGCGAAAGTGAGGTATTCAAATTAGAGTAGGGATGCTATAGTAGTGAATATATGAGTGATTCTGATAAAAATATGTTTTTGTGAAAAAATTTGACTCAAACAAAAGGGAAACATCTAGGTTTTTTCTTATCATACTGAACTGACATTCTGGGATGTCCTCTTCAAAATGGGAGCAAAGCAAGACCTTGATTATCCGCGACTCGGGCGTTGTGTCAGATTTCCCACGGGTCCCAGCACTGGTACTTGGTGACTATTGGTAGCCTTAAAGACGTCCGTTGTTGCTGCCGTGTTGTCAGGAAGTGGATGAGTGACCACATACTTTGTGTAATAATCGGTGATGACGGGCACATATTTGTTTCTGCCTGCTGAGGATTGTAGTGTTGGTCTCAAAAATCCATGCCAACGAGTTCCAATGCACCTTGTGGATATTCGATTGGTAGTAAAAATGCCCAGGCGATTTTGTTCGCCGACTATTGAATTTGGCACACTTTTCGCATGACCGAATGTAATTCTGAATGGTCTTTTTCATCGTTGGCCAAAAACATGTGTTTCTCAACTTGAGCTCCGATTGACTCCAAAATGAGCTGCTGTTGGGTGTATATAACGGTAAAAGTTTAATCTTTTTTTCAAAAGATATAGATCCACCAAAAGACCTTTTTACTGTCCGAATACTTATTTATTTTTTTACTGTATATAGGCGTGTCTTCATTGAAACTCAAAATCTGTTTTTCTGTTTGCACATATTTTGTCACACAATATCGCATTTAGGCGATACTTTTCTGTTTTCTGCATATGCTTCCTTACACACTAGAAAAGAAGATTTTCGTATTTAATACAGATTTTGTTTTCGTTTGAATAACATGCAGACATAGAGTCAATGTGCCTAATAATAGCGGTCTTTTTTCATGACATAGTTCGGATAGAAAAAAAATTTTGCTCACGACTCAGTGTGTAGTCGACTTTTCGAGGGCGTTGCTAGGTAGCTAATGACGGAAATTCGAAATAGTTTTCTATTACCATCCTTCAATAAAACAGATTTTTCTCGGTCAAATTTCGCTTTTTCCGAATTTCCACTTGAGGTTCGGAACCAACATAGGAATCAGCAGTTTTTCGATATTCCAAGGGTCCCATAGGGGTGAAAAATGAAAGCCGTTTTTTGACAGAACAAAATACCTCATTTTACTCCTAACAATTTTACTACTGGAATTTGATCATGATTCCGAATATGTAAGTCTTTTTCGAAAATGATTTTAAGATGAAGAAAGATGATGTAGAGTAATATAAAGTAAAGGACGCGAAGTTAAATGAGCTTTGAAAAACGAGATATTTGAATGCGGTGTTTTTAATTGGCTTTAAAATGAGAGAAATGAGCTTGGTTGTAAGAAAACTATGCTTTATTTATATAAATGAGAGTTTTGAGATCAGAAATGAAAATGAATTAGTTTGTCAGTGGCAAAGTATATCTAAGAAAAAAAATAGTTCAAGAACAAAAAATGTGTTAAGTTACAATAGTTTTCCACTAATATTCAGTCTTTTGTTGCAGCTAATTTGGCTTGAACGACCGTTTCCTCTTCTTATCCCAACGGGCTGTGGAACTTTACGATGATCCCACATCATTATTGAACCCAAGGAATGAACGCAAGAATATTTTTTAAAGCGTCATTTACACGAACGAAATAATGTTAACCGAGAAAAATCAACTAAATGCGTAGAATTTAGCCACTCGACAAATTCATTGTACGAATTCCAAGACATACTATGATAATCTTGTACTAGTATGATAATGTATCCTCGTTTGGTGAGGCTAAGAAGAAGGCTTAACATAACTAGCGGCACCCAAATATAACACTTTTGTCAGATAGTCCGTCCGCTACGTGACTATGACTGATTGGTTGTTGTCCATTTGGAAAGACCACAGTGAAGAGGTAATTATTGGCAACTATGTGCTATCAAATCAGATCCGCGTGTGTATCCCCCAAACACTGAAACTTTAGCGTTTATTGTTGTGCCCATTTCAGTTAGGAAAACATTTATCATAGAGTGAAAAGTAAGATAGAACCTTTTCGGAGAAAAGAACATTCTACCTACTTATATGTCACAGAGGCCGGAATTTGATGTTCATGGCAAAATGGACATTAAATTAGAGAAGGAAGCACGTTTTCAAACCGTAGCGGACAGATTTAGACTAAGTTTTTGCGAACTTCTGTAGCATTTTGCTATAAAACACTACACGCGCAATGTGGAAAGCCTCAAAAATTTATTTGGATGAAAATAAAACTTCATTTGTTTTCTCATAAATATCTAAGGCTCGAAGTAAATAATGTCTGTGCCTGCCAGCTTGTAGAGGAGGTTTTCCGCTACAAAATCCAAACGTTTTTTGAATTTTTTTAGATAAAATGACTCTCGAGTAGACTGTGTTACAAAATAGTTACTGTTCGAATAAGTTCGATGTTTTCCTCCACGTTCTGCGTGGAAAGTAGGATTTAATAAAATACTTTTTACTCTTTATTTTTACATCTATTACAGTATTTCTATAACTGGCCAACTATTAAGCTAATAAATTCAAAATATTTCATTGTACAAACTCCTGTATCTAGAAATAGCCCCTAGTGAAAGATCAGATGGTTTGGTCAGGAATCTGGTCAGATTGGTGAAATGTGACCAAAGAACAGCTCACTGGTCTCTTGACCAATATACTGACTTTTTCAAGAACAGAATAAGAATTCAAGACCCATATCCTGGCCAGGAACCTGTTTCTTTCGAGATCAGTATCTGGTTTTCTGTCCAGTATTCTGGTTTGCTCAGGAACAGGGTCTTGATTTCTTGACTGAAAAACGTTTGCTTCAAGAAGATCTCTCAAAATAAGTGCTTCTTAAGGTAATTGACAGACTGATTTCACCATGTTTTACCCGGTTTTCTCTTGGGGAACATAATACAATCAGCGTGAGTTATTCACCTCAGACTCGCTTCGAGGTTAAGCAAATAAGTACACAGCAATTCTACTTGTAAACACGCTCTCTACTTGTCATAGAAACTATGTTAACATTTTTTTGAACTTTAGAAAAATTTTGATTGTTATTTCTAAAGTAGCTTCAATCTCAGACTTCTGTGAGTTCGCCCATGTACTCCTCAATTATAGTTTGACATATAACTGGCATTTGATCTCAGAATAAAAGTGAGAGTGGTTGATGTTTTATGGTTCTTGTGTGAATATTACCGATAAGGGAATGCTTGCCGTATGTGAAGAAAACATTCACGCTCGAACTTTCAGAGAATGTAAACCCAATTATATTATCTCTAGGATCAGTTCGTTATTAGAGCCAATCTAATATCCTGTGAATGAGACGGAATGGCTCTATATTACTCTATATCATCTTTAACTAACATCAAAATGTTTTAAAAATTATTCTTATATTATATAACCATTCTTTTCCATCTTTTTAAAAGTGGTTGGTACTGAAAGGGTTAAAGAAAGAAAAAACCATTTAGTTAAGCTGGTTTTTGCTGAAAGATTCATGTATGTGTCATTTTTTTTCTAAGAAAAACGACATCTAGTAACTTAGATCATCAATCAGCTGGTTTGTATTTTCATAAATTCGAGACTATATCCTTAGAGCCTTTTATTTTTCTTCTTTTCTGACTTATAAAACGACAAAATTGTATTAGATATAGAGGAATAATTCAATTTTTGATCTTTTGAGACATAAAATATATTGAAGAAGAATATGTTGTAGCTAAAATTACGATTCAGCACAATTTTCACTTAGACTAAACCAAATTAAAGTCAAATGCCTGCATATGCTGAATTTTGATTTAGATCAGGCGAGTTTACAATCACACAAGTCCATATTGATATTAACTGATAAAAAACAGACCGAAACGCTAATTGATAACCAGTGCTCAGAGTTTAAAATCAATACTTGTTTCAAATACACGGCTCTGGTTTATAAACGAACAAGACAAATTTTATTTAGTTGAGCCAACGTTCGTATATTCTGTTTTGTCTTCTCACCAATTTGGTTATTGATTAAAGTCAGTTCTTTTATACTATGATTGACTTTGAGGGCATTACTTAATGCTCGAGCACCATTCTCACCAATTTGATTATTAGATAATTTAAGCTGAGTTAAAGTTCGATTGACGTTGAGTGCTTCACTTAATGACTGAGCACCAGCATCACCAATTTGGTTCTTGGACAAATAAAGTTCAGTTAAAGTTTGGTTGACTTTGAGTGCATCACTAAATGATTGAGCACCAGCAGCACCGATTAGATTCTCAGACAAATAAAGTTCAGTTAAAGTTCGATTGACTTTGAGTGCATCGCTTAATGATCGAGCACCGTTGTCACCAATTTGGTTATAGATTAAATTCAGTTGTTTTACACTTTGATTGACTTTGAGTGCATCGCTTAATGATCGAGCACCGTTGTCACCAATTTGGTTATTGATTAAATTCAGTTCTTTTACACTTTGATTGACTTTGAGTGCATCACTTAATGATAGAGCACCGGAATCACCGATTTGGTTGGCGTGCAAAGAAAGGTTAGTTAAAGTTTGATTGACTCTGAGGGCGTCACTTAATGATCGAGCACCGGCATCACTAATTTGGTTCTCAGACAGATAAAGTTCAGTTAAAGTTCGATTGACTTTTAGTGCATTACTCAATGATCGAGCACCGTTCTCGCCAATTTGATTATTGGACAAACTAAGTAGAGTTAAAGTTTGATTGACGTTGAGGGCATCACTTAATGACAAAGCACCCTGATCACCAATCTGATTAAGATGCAACGAAAATTTGGTTAAGTTTTGATTGACCTTGAGGGCGTCACTTAATGATCGAGCACCAACATCACCAATTTGGTTCTCAGACAAATAAAGTTCAGTTAAAGTTCGATTGATTTTGACTGCATCACTTAATGATCGAGCACCAGCATCACCAATTTGGTTATTGGACACACTGAGGTCCTTTATGCTCTGATTGACTTTGAGCCCCTTACTAATTACTTCGATATCATCAGCGGTTAAGTTTTTTTTCGATAAAGTGAGTTGAGATGGTGTTTTGTTTAGTATCAGTTGCTGCGATATTTCAAGTATTTCTTTTGTTGGTTCTAAATGAAATTAAAGTAAATATTCTTTCTAGTGAGGTTTCGACTAATTCGTCATGATTAATTAATACATGAGAATCTGCTGATTTGTTATTCGAAGTTGTAGCTCAAATTCTATTAAATTATTGTTTTTCAAATTCTATAAAACGCTTGTCAGCTTTGCTTCTGCGAAGCGAAAATATGAAAACTGCCAAATGAACTTCATGCACCTCATAAGAATATATATAATAGAAGGAAATTGTATTGTGAAAATTATGCGGTAGACCAAAGTGTGAAATTAACAAAAATGTATTTCAGTTTCGTTAAGAAAGCATTTTTGTCTAATAGATTGATTTCTTATTAATTTATAAATACAAGACTGGCATTTTTAATCAATCTTATCTATGGTCTGGGTTGTGTAAATAACACAAGTTGTGCACAAGTTACAGGCCGTATTAAGAATCATATTCATATATACCATTTTATATATACCAATCTTGTTCATATTTTCTATAATACTGGTGTACTTTCAACATGTGGTAGTGTTTTGTCTATAATTTAGTAAACTTTAAGATGCTATAACCTATCTATGAGATGTTGTAAACAAAATGAGTGTTTAAACTGCCTTAACTCGTACCTAAAATTTATACTTCAAACTTTCATTTCCTTCTTAAAACACACATGTACTTGGAAGTTTTCACAAAATAGGAATGGAGAGGGTGAGTTGAAAGAGATCCAAACCCTCTCTCTGCGTCGCATGGAAAAAATAAAAGTTTTCGTTTGTTTTACTTTCTAAAGAGCTTATCTTGTTTGAAAAAGTGGTTGCACGAAGAGAGTAGATAGTATGAGTGTCTTCTATAAAATAAGATCTAAGCAAAGGCTTGATCTTTCCACTATAGATCTTTTTCCTGAAGCCTTAGGACTTCTCTGTCGTTAGGTTTAGGACCTTCCGAATGCATGAAAACATAGATTATCGACTATGCTGAGTCTTGTGGCAATGTTTGTTCTTAGAAAACTATTTAGAGCTTAGTGAAATCTAAGTATTACAATAACCAGGCTTTTCGGCTGTTTTTCATAAATTCATAGCTCACTCAAAATACATCTAAGTGAGTTGAAATCTTCAGGATATGGTTAATTTTGTCAATTAGATGTTATTATCGTTGCGGCAAGTTTGAAAAACCAATATTTGTTCAACGGTTTTCCAGAAGTCTTTCCAGAAAGGCTTCAGGAAGGAAGGAAGAATACCCCGCCTTTCGGCTACCTTGCGGTATAGGGTGCTGCCGAGGCAGTTTCGTAAGCCCGATATCTTCCCTACAACTAATACTAGCTGTAGCTCTGGACAGAAGGCCAGCCTGACTCAGAGTTCTTTCGCTCAATTGCTTGAGCTCCCCGTACACACTGACTAACCA